CGGAGGCAGCACACGCCTTTAATCCCAGCACTCGGGAGGCAGAGCCAGGCAGATCTTTGTGAGTTCGAGGCTAGCCTGGTCTATAGAGCAAGCTCCAGGAAAGGCACAAAGCTAGACAGATAAACCCTGTCTCGAAAAAAAAATAAAAAATAAAAAAACCACCTTTTTCTTCCCTCTTTGACTCTAAGCTTTCTTGGATTAACAATCTTCTAAAAAAAGGCCCACCAAATAATGAAACAGCAGTATCAGCAGCTGTTATATCGGAAAGCATTCTCACAAGATGTCTCCCCAGTTTGCCTGCCCTGCCACTACGGGGTTAGGTCCTGATGAAAGCACATGTCCTTTTCTCTCCCCTCCAGACTTGAGTCAAAGCATAAGTAACAGCCATGATCACCTGTGATGAATAACTAAGAGGAGATTAATTGCTGTTGTGTGACGAGGGGAATGCTGTTAGAGACTGGTCCCCTCTTCAGTCTCTTTGTTTGGGGTGGTTTCGTCTATGTGGTCACCACACATGTAACTCCTGCTCATCGCACCAAGCACACATGTAATACAAATGCTACATTACTGGCTAAGAAACAGGAAGGCAGGCGGTAGAACCAACTTCCGGCTGGACTTCAGACACCAGCAAAACTCAGCTTTGGATTGCTTGATGCTGCTGAAACATTAACTTGCCATTTCAGATGGCATTAAAAATAGACAATTAAAATTACTAAGGGACAGAGGGCGGGGCTTGGGGCGGCATGCAACAATCTTGCTTTCTCCCCTTGGATTATTCATCTGTACTGTTCTACTAGCCCATTAATTATATGAAACCCAAGGTGTGGTCAGCCCACAGCCTGAGGTTCACACACAACGGACTTTGATGTGAGTACACATGCCTGTGCAGCCTGAGTATTTGAAATAGGTCCTGAAAATGATCACCACACTGAATTCTAGAATGAATGGCCATCCTTCATTTATTGCCATTTATGTTCCAATCCATTCAGCCAATTAATGAGAATAAGGTGAGAAAAAAATGGAAGAGTCCTGATCCTGTAAGACCCTCCGTATCTGCTTTTGAGGAAGTAGGGTCTAAATAACACAATGGAAACATGATCATTGCTGTTGAACATGACACTTGGGTAGCTAAGGAAAAATGTTCAGTTCAGTCCAGGCCAGGTGTGGTAGTACCTGTAATCCCAATACTTGGGGAGCAGAGGCAGGGAGATCTTTATGAGTTTGAGGCCAGCCTGATCTACACAGCAAGTTCCATCTCAAAACAAAAGCAAGTAAAAAAACATGGCAAACCAGAAAATTAGGGAAAACTCTATAAAGTTTTTTACAGGGAAATTACTTAAGCTGAGCCTTGAAGAAGAGAAAACTTGTTTGGATGAACAATAAAAGAACTGGTGTCTAGTGGGAAATATTAAGTCAATGTGAAAATGGGAATGACAGGTGCTCAGTGTGATTAGACAGGCAATGTGGCAAAAGAGAGGAGGTCAGGGCTGGCGTGCCACAGTGAGGAGCCAGTGGAGTGTCTCCAGGGTGTGAGCACACGGCTTGCTATGTGTCCAATATCATTAGCCTAGCATGCTGGCATATGACAGGGCAGAGTAGAGAAGGGCAAGACTGGGCAGAATCAGGAGACAACCAAGGCCTAGCTAGAGCATGGTAAGACCTCCCAGCAAG